AAAAAAAAAAAAAAAAAAAAAGAAAGAAAAAGAAAATATAAAAACGATGAAAGCCTTGAAAGTTGAATGTAAGTACACAACAGCAGCTTCGAGCTGTGCGAAACACGTTCTACCAGTGTCCATTAGCCAAGGTCGTCCTTCGCGCGTCTAACGAAGAGATGGAAGAACCACAAAAATAAAAAGACACGCGTAAAAGAGCAGCACGTGTGGTTGTCTTTTAGCGCGAAACACGTGTCGCGTTTATAAAAGGACCAAAGATGGCGTCGTGTTGTTTATATCGATTCCTTCGATATCGATCGCGCTTGATGAAACACTCGTGTCACCTATCTTCTAATTTTGACACCGATTCAGAAACCCGTGCATTTAAATAAGGGAAAGTATAGAACAATTTTCAAACATCGATGATTTTGGCATTCGTTGCGCAACCGGAAAAACGGCGGATTTCGAAATTCGCTCAGAGAAGGAAAATAGAAATTTCTAAACATCGCGGCTGCCAAATTCACCCCACCTGTTCTGCAACTTTTACATAGGGGCATATATCTCATTCTACGTTTCGGAATTTACATCTATGTGTTCTAGTCACCGGAATAAAAATAGACAAGAGTAACAAACAATGTCGCGCAATATGGTCTTTGTTTGTAGGTCCAAGCAAATGTTTTCGTACATTTATTGAACACGTTCGATTGTATTTAAACTGTATTTGCAATTATTACTGTTTTCACTTCTGCTTTGATCGAAACACTTTCACACAAAAAGCGAATTAAATTATGTCCCTTTAAATTTTAAATAGTAAAATTAAGTTAATGAATGTACAGGTAATTTTAAATGAAAATTTAATTAATACATTTTTAATCACGGCGTCAAGTATTACATCAACTGTGAAAATATGTATTTACGATGACGATGATGAAATTTTTTCGATATCACGTCGAATTAACAAGATGATAAACTCAAAGTTTATCTTATAACGTTTGCGGACCGTGACTATACCGAACAAGTGCACCACACGCAAAGTTGCGAGCCGCGCGCGATGTAAACAAACACCTAAAGAATCCTGACAGCTACAGCAAACAGAATTTTCATGCGATGCAAGTCCCTTCGCCAACAGACGTTGTTCAAGTACTTTTCCCTTTCGACAACGCTGTCAAGTGAAAATTACAATATAACCAGACAAAATTACACCGTCCTCAACCTCTGATATTAAAATTTTCAAACTACTACATATCATCGGAGATATTTTTGACTTTGCGTTAAAAATATTTATGCTCGTTAGAAACTGCTTGCTTTTGATTATCACCGGAAATGAATTGTCAAATTGATTGACAAGCGACGTAACGAAGACCATATGTGTTTTATCAAGTCAATCTTACAAAAAACTGACTCGTACAGTAAGTTGGTTATTAGTGTCAGTTATTAAAAAAAAAATTTTTATTAATCTCCTTGGCCATATAATTTCAGTGGACTTCTTTTTAGTGTATTATCCTCAGTTGTCGGTCCAATTGCTTTGACGTTCAATGCGTATTAAAATAAATAAAATCATAGGACGACACTCACCAAGTTCCATAGGATAGAGCCAGTTGTTGATATCCAGGATCAAGTCCATTTTGAAGGACTCCGATTCGCAATGGAGCCTGCTCACTGCAACCACCCATCGTCATCGATCGCCACCCAGCCAAGGAAACCGGAAAAAAGAAACGGGAAAGTCGTCATCGTTAGATAGAATGTTACGTGTGCCACGACACTTGTGCATTTCAAATACGCATGCAAACTTCGTGCACGTATAAGGGATCCACTTAATTCTAACCGGGTGTAATACATTAAATGTAGCGCGCAAAAAAAAAAAAAAAAAAAAAAAAAAAAAACCATCACGTGATGCTCGCGTCCGACCGAGTCAGAGATGACTCATAGTCTTCGATAAATTTGTCGTCGTAATAGCAGGTTCCGATTATAAACGATCGGGAAAAGGAGAGAGAGAGAAAGAGAGAAGGGAAAAAAGGAAGTGGATTTTTACAGAGATCTCTAGCGACACAATCGTGCCACTTGACGGCTGCCCACCGGCTTGACGTCACTGTCAGCCAACCAATCGCATTTGCTTCACAATACGAATTTATCGTTCGAGCCGACGCTCGCGATACTCGCTCGTACAGGCGACGAGGTGGGTTCGAATGTTCGTTAGAGAACACGTAGGTGATACGTGCGGTTGCGCGCGCGCGTGTTCCTCATCTCACACGTGTAAGCATTTGCGGCTAGTTTCTAACTGTGCTCGCGCAAGATAATTGCAAGGCAGAAACACCTTCTCTCTCTGCTGTGTTAATTCCTAGATTAATATTGCGTTTTATGTTTCGTCACATTTTTTTATTCTTCGGCGATGCGTAGGAATGAGGAAAAATTTCAGAATTACACGATGCGATATATATATATATATATATAGAGCACCGATCTAGGATTGTGAGATCTACGTAGTCATAAACAAAGTGTCCTTGGAACTTCGAACGCGCTTCGACGAAATTACACACTGGACGTTTTATTACCAAAACAGACGTACTTTAACGTCCCAGCTGAAGAGAGTCACCTGATTTTCGTTCGCGCTTGAACAATAATTCATTATCAGAGGCGGTGAGCCGTGCATATTTCGTTCCAATTACGTAATTCGTCCTTGCGCGAGCAAGTTCTCTACGCCATTGTATTCGAGGAATCGGCCAATAAGATCACGGCTACACCGCGCCGAACGTTGCAATGGACCCGTCCGCGTGACGCGGCAATTTCAAACGTACTTTCCAACTACTCGGCGATCTCTGGCCCCGGGAGTGACGATTTTACTTGAATTACACGCATCAAACGTGAACCGTGGAACGCGACACACGTGAACACAGGGTGGTAATGTGATATAGTATAATTCAGTGGTTGGGCGTGAAATAACAGACGTCCACCGAAATGAAATTGCATCGCGGGAAAATGAAACAGAAACCCGCGGTCAAGTAGATTTAAGGTCGCGAAACGTCAACTTAAACTCACAAAATGATTCTTCCTTAATGATACAACTACGTTTGTCTTTTGTTTTTTAAATGAATGTATGAACAACTTCTTGTGAGAATTTCTTATAGCGGTGCGTATTAGAATTATTGTTTTGTAATTTGGAAACGGTATTCTCGTCCACGGGGAATCGTCCAGAGTCTAATTTGTATGTATCTCGTTGTTCACATCGGTATTTGCGTGAATTAATGAAATGTCTTTCGTCGACGTGACTCAGTGTATTAATACATTTAAAGTATGCGGTTTTATGCACACGACGACGCTTCGATCCGCTTTGTCGACAAGCTCGTAAAATGTTGGACGATAGGCCAGCTCGCGCGATTATTCACGTTATTTGTTTCAATGTAAAAATGCAATGCGCGTCGAACGTGCAAATTGTTGTATTCACCGATCGTATCACTAGAACTGTTATTTAAATTGCGTCGTGAACACGGCAAAAGAAATCTAAACCTTCCGAAAACTGTGATCTTTTTCTATAAAAAAAACTTTGTCAATTTTTTTTTTTTTTTTTTTTTTTTTTTACTAAAAAGTAAGCACAACGTTTTTCTCTCGTGTACAAACTGAGAGTCCAGACGACAATTATTCTGTAATGTGGGATTTCAGAAAAAAGTGCACTAACCGACGATGTCTGGAGAGATCGGCAAACGCGAAGAAATCGAGAACCAGAGTGCGACCAGACGGAAAAGGGGGAAGCGAAAACGTTGGAGACACACTCTGGAGCGCAAATACTCGTCAAAACAAGCGGCACGTTTTTCGTATTTACACGCTTAATTCGCGTTTTCCGCGTTGTGCAACGTTTCTCCAAAAGACGCATCGAAGAGAGCCCCAGAGGCTACGAACGTGAGGATGATGAAACAGCTGGATAATAAAAAGCAGAATGCAGACGAAATTGCGACAGAAGAAGATCTTGGAGCGATAGAGACAACACAATGATGCAAGCGTACGTCGTATGTAATTCATACTACGTGCTTTGTTTCTAATGATCGAGGAATAAAAGTTGGTCGTCGAGTGTTAATGCTTGATTGTACAGTAATATGCTTCGAATACGCACGCGATATGACGAATTAATGGTTCGTAAACGGAACTACGCAGCGATTGAAGGGAGAAAACAATCTCCGTCTACATGATCGATTTCTACGGAATCTAACTTCCTCCAATTACTCACGGTAATCGCCGTGGTCGATCGTCGACAGTAATCCCGTGATCGCGTGAACGGCGACCGCCGCCACCTTGCCAGCTGATATCCTTCAAATCCTTCTTTCTCTTCAACCGATCCTCTCAAAATATACAATTTCTCTATCCAACCGTTGGGATCCAATTCGAATCGCGTGATATCCGACAACTCCGTTCCCAAACTTGCGTTCTCCTCTTCGAAATTCTTTCGTATCATCTTCTTCTCCGTGGCAGAGTAAACAGAACTTTCAAGTACTTGTTACGACAGAACAAAACATAAAAAAAAAAAAGGGGGGAGAAACAGAGACAAGTAAAGGAGAAAGAATACTCTCGATGAAATTCGTGTATATCGGGATAAATTGTGTCGTATGTTGTTCGAGGCAGGTCTCCTCTCCACACCGCGAACGATATGATCAAAGGATCCAGACAGAGAGAGTGAAAGAGAAACAGAGAGAAAGAGAGAGAGAGACACGGACCTCGAGGCTGGCACACGGTGGACTGATCCGTTCCTCGTTGCTGACGTTGCTGCCAGCTGCTCGACTTCTATGTACCGATGTGGAGAGAGAGCAACGACGACCTTTACGGTCGCCCAGTGGTACGAGTTCTCCAACGAAACGCACGGAACCTGCCTCTACTCCCCACTACGTCCATAACTCTCACCCTCTAACCCTTCTCCCCCCGCCCCTCTTCGTTCGGCGATGAACACCAGCCACCCTCTCTCCTCCTCCTCCTCTTCACCGCCGCCGCCGACGTTTCTCCACGTCGCTCTCATGTGCTCGTCACCGGGCCAAACACGACCAGCTAGTCTCCTCTCTCCTTCTCCTTTGCTACCCCGAAATGTGCTCGCCACCCCTCTTCTAGCCCTCCCTCCCTTCCTCCCTCCCCTTTCCCATCCTCATCCTTGTTCTCCACCTGTCGCACTTCAGCTCCCTCTGTGTGTTTTCGTTTCCACTCGTGGAAAGGGCAAGAGGGATGGTTTTCGCTGGTCCTGGCGAACCCCCCGCCACCAGGATAGACATATATACTCTTTCGCACACGTTCCGAAGGAAATCTTCGTCATCTCCGTCGTCCTTTCTCTCCTTCTTGGCTGTATTCTTCATGGTGTACGTACGTCTTTAAATATCGAATTTTAATAAGAAAGACCGAGAGACCAGTATTAATAAACACTCGATGAAAATATCCTACACACCGTTAATTTAGCTTTCTTCCGTTATGTTCCTTGGTTCGTGCTTCGCGAATTTTTTTCCCCTCGGGGAATTATGTTTTCGTTTGAGAAATTTTAAGCAGGAATAACAGACGATAAACACTGTTTCACTTGGAAGGAAAGGATCGACGTGTAGATAATACAGTTTCACTTGGTCGAGCGGCTCTGTCAGCTGGTCCTCTCCAGAGGGAGAGATACGTAACGATACTCCTCATGGTCAACTAATGGCACGGTGCTCGGCGAACGGGATACAAGAAACCAGACTCAATTTCCCCTCCATCCGCCACTCTATTTCATCCTTTAACTACCCTCTCACCTTTACCGCCCCGACACACGATCCCCCACCCCTTCTCGCCGTCATCCTTTCGCGGTCCCTTTAAATTTCCTTGCCGCCAGAGAGAGACAGAAAATGACACATTTTCCAGGAGACTGTTTCCGTTTCTCCTTCACGATTTTCTCATCTTCCTTCTCTCTCTCTTTTTTTCTTTTTTTCTTTTTTTCTTTTTAATCCCCCTTTACTTCCCGACCACAATTTTTACAACACTTTCAACAATCCTACGACGACAATTTCAAAACTAGTTCTGGGAAATGACAATTAATCGTGCACAGGTGGAGAACAGTGCGCGACACTAACCGAGTGGTTAACGGTTAACGGTTTGCTACCAGCTGGTTCGTCGTTAAAGAACCGCCGGCGACTCGACGAAAGACGACCGCGAACAGCAGAAAGAAAGAAAGAAAGCAAGCAAGCAAGCAAGCGAGCAAAAACGAAAAGAGAGAAGCGGAGGGGAAAAGAAGAAAAAAAAAAAAAAAAAAAAAAAAAAAAAAACGCAACGCCGACCTTTACGGTCGGCCGATAGTTAGAGTTCTCCAACGAAACGCACGAAACGCACGAAACGCCTGCCCCTCTCTCTATTGTCCCTCTTACACCCTCTCTTTCACTCTCTATCCCTCTTTTATATCCTTCCTCTTTAACCAACGATATCCACCATCTTTGCCTCTCTGTCGCGTAACCACCAGCTTCCATCTTTTTCTACAGTAACGCCCACGCCGTTGCTCTATCCTCGTCTAGTCTTCCCCTTGGAAGACCTGTCTTTTCCTAGTTCATGGTGAAGGTAGCCAGTAGGGGTGCCAACCCTACGGTTTATCCCGGCGGTCGGACGAAGACGGCGATAGATTTACCCCCACTATCATCGGGGCGGCGCTCAGCAAACCCTCTGACCTCCCTTTTCTCCTCTTCGTTGTTTCACTCGTACTCTCCCTCTGTTTCGACATCTTCCACCGTTCTACGTCTGCTCTCTCTTCTTCCCTCTCATTGCGGCAGGTAACACACATGCATTGATATCGTCGTTTTCTCCTGCCTTTCCCCCCTCCTAGACAAGTTTCTTTATCCAGCGATACGATTTCTCGTCTCTCTCCTTTTCTGGTTGCCGATCTTTTCTTTCTCCTCTTGGCTTCGACGTTTTCTCTTGGTTTCTCTCTGCCCAGTGGTGATTTGTCGACTGCTTAGGACGAAACAGAGAAATATCTCCAACTGTCTCCGATTCAGATTCCCCGGGATCCTTCACTTTGAGAAACAGACGTCTAACAACAACTGAATGAAATCCCCTCTGAAATCCCATCCGTCCCCTTAACTCGTTCAAATATTCCAAAAAGAAAATCTTCGGGTGTAAATGAAACTTACAGAAAGAGGAAAAGTCCCACGAAAAATCAAAATCAAACTAGCTTTTCAATCTAGACTGCAATTGCAGACGATTGTACTTTTTGATAATCAATAGTTTGCGTCCAGCAGTCGGAGATTCAATTCCTTTTTTTTTTTCTTCTTCTTCTTTTGGAAAATATTTCTGTTCGCGATTCGTCGACTGGTGGAAGACTGAATAAACATCGAGTCGAATGATTCTTATTAATAGTCGTACACACTCGATAATCCGTCGCCTTTATTTAGCACCACCAGTCACCGCTTACTTTCCAATATCGTACACATCATGAATTACCACGAAAATAGACTCGAGCTTCCTATACTTAGGGACGCGCGTAGTTGCGTGGTTAAGTGGAGAGCACGTATTTCCGGAAGTTACACGGCGAAAGTATCTTCCATCGGAGAATAAGATAAGACAGGATTATTTGCATCATTTGAACAAGTGCACCTCAGATTCTATTCACGTGTCCAAATTCTGGAAACAAAAAGTCGGTAGAGCTTTTCGATTCAGATGGATACGACAAAGAGAACTTTATTAGTTCAAAGAAACTAGAAAATGAAAAGAAGGAATATGTCTGTGTAGATACTAAAAAAAAAAAAAAGAAAAGAAAACCGAGATAAACAGGCTAGATCTTACGCGATAATCCTCGGAGGAAACCTGAAAACATTTGGTGGGTCACGCGATTACCCGATCCATCGGGCGAAACACGATCCCCATGGCGATTCCTCTGACGCCCCGGCAAGGCGCAACTTCTAAACCATCGGCCGTTAAAAACTTCCAATCAATATCAATATCGACCATTCCGCCGTCCCCTGAAGCTGAGAGGAGTGAAAGAGAGAAAGAGAGATAGTGTACATCCCACCGCGTATATACCTATGACCAATATCCCGGAGGAAAATCGTTCCTCGTTTTTCCCTTTCTCCTGTTACTCTATATACCACACGCTACTCCCTCAAAAAGAAATAACAAAAAAA